TCTTTGTTAGATAGTACAAAATTAGGACAGTTATAAATAAGAAATACAATATTGGACCACATTTGAGTGCAAGAAGATCATACAATTTTACCAAAAAGCTATATCGCTTAAGTTGGTGGAGTTAACGAAAAAAAACACATAAATTAGAAAAAATTCTCAACTAAAGTTTGAACACACATATTTTTCTTAAATATTTAATGAAATGAATAATTCAAAAAGGCTTTAAAAAACCACGTTTAGCGTTAGCCAAAACTTTCGCTCATTAATGATCCAGGAAATATGAGTATATTTTCAAACTTCTACAATTACATGTTCATGACTTGCTTAAAGTCTTACACCCCAGCCTTCTAAATAACTGCATACAATTTACAATTCTGTTATGTAATCCCACCTGGGGGTGGGTGTAATTGAAAAATTGACTAGTCATAAAACTGTATAATTTTAATGTCAGCGACGAAATTATAAAACAATTGTGTAGTATAACTGCTTAATTGGTTTGCTCATATATATGTATGTGCTGAACATACAGTCGTGGGTATAGAAATATGAATGTAAACAACATTTTTATAGCCTGAACGAGGTATATTAAGTTTGTCACGAAGTTTGTAAACCCAGAAAATGTCGGAGATTTAGCCCTGGCCGTCTTTCCTACTGTACTGTACTCTGTATGTATATATGCGAACTAGTCCCTCAGTATTCCTACTACTGTAACATATGTATATTTTTTACAATTTTTTTTTTTTTGAAGAAACATTGCACCTCTTTTTTTGTTGTTGTTGCGATTATCTATGCAGAACATATGTTTAATATGTTGGCGTCATTTCTGAATAAGTAGGAGTTTTACCTGCTATAATAACCGGAACGAAGTTGTGCAGGGGTCACTCTAGACTCTCGGTGCAACCGGAGTTCTTCGTCTGCTATGTATACTAATTTAAGTACAAGTACACCATTCACTTAGAGGGATTCGGTAAAGGTGTTCATGGCTTTACTGTGAATGGCGGTAAGTGCGTTTCGTAAGTGCATCCTTAGTCTGGTCGGCCAACTGTGCAATGTCGTCATATTTAAGATTTACAGACTTTTATTCAAAAGTTCTATCACCCATCGAACTTGAATTGACAATAGTTCCTTAAAAAAAACATCACAAATACTTCAAAATATGACGATATCTTCCGTCATATCATAAAAATATTGTTAACACTCATAACTTATATGTCAAATGCTTCATAATTCGTTTTTAGTGGCAATAATACTTTCAGTTTTACCGCATATCAAATTACAAAACTTAACCCCAAAGGCGCAATTAAAAAATAATAAATATTTTTGCATGCAATTAAATTGTAGAAGCCAACGATTATCGTTGTAATTATTGTACTTAAGGTATGCATTGTAATTAAATTAATGTTAAATCGGAAATATTATTCAATTTCAAAAGGGGATAGCTGTGGTGAATTGCAAAGGTAAGTGAATTCAGAGACAATATGGATAGAAAATCGGTTTCTTGATTAAGTTAGATTTAAGTTAGAATTCATATTAGTTGAATATATTCAGCTAGACGCTTAAGTGAACTGTAAATTGTTGTGTGACGCCATCGATCGAATAATTGTTATTGTCTACTTTTAAGGATGTCTAGGGCAACGAGAGTGACCACTACTAGAACAAATTTTGTTGGATATATGGTATGTAAAGAGCCAAAAAAAAGCGTTAACTTTTACATCGAAGTTAGAATAAAAGCGAAAACCTTTTACAAATAAAGATATTTCCATACAAGAACTTAATTTTGATAGTTCGAAAATTTTGTAAACATACTTGTATCTCGTCAAATAAAGAAGTTTTTGATCGTTCAGTTTGTATGGTAGCTATACGCTATAGTGGTCCGATATCGGCGGTTCCGACAAATGAGCAGATACTTGAAGAGAAAAGAACATATGCTAAATTTCAGACCGACAACTCAAAAATTGCACATATATGCAGACAGACGGACATGGTTAAATTTACTCAACTCGTCATACTGATCATTTATATATGTATATATTTTATAGGGTCACCGAAGTTTTGGGTTGGCTGTTACAAACTGCATAGCAAACTTAATAAACCCTATTTAGGGCACAACAATTTATTGTACCGTTAGTAAACGCACTCCCGTGTCATCATAGCGGTTTTTCGATAGTCTTTCTCAAAAAACCCAAGCTGTTTGTAGGTATGTAAATAACAACATTTGTACTTCCCCAGTGATTTAGAATGAAAATGGAAAATCCAAAGATTTCAAAAACAAAAACTCAACATATTTTTATTGTGCAGCAAAATACGCTAATTTACTATAACATGTGTTCACAGATCAATTAGCATCCGCCAATAAGCAAACGAACCATGAATAGTATAAGTGCTATCGTCACACATAAGAACACGAGCAGGTAAACAAATAAAAATTTACTATATATATATTACATATATATTTGTAGTTTATATATGTATATCAATTCGCACAACTTGATAACCTCTTACAACACCAACAAATATAGCGTTATATGTTATGTGCATTTTCTTAGTAGTTAGCTCGCTTGGCAACGCGCGGGGTAATGAACGTTGTGACGTCTCTTCGCTTTTCGAAGATAGATACACACTGAGACTTCAAAAAGCGTGATTTGCATTCGCATTGCACTCGTCTCAATTAGCTAAATCAGCTATGAAGTCACACTGCATATTAGATTTGAATATTGAATATTTAACATAGACTTTCGCGGAAATTTCGTACGATTACATGTAAAGGAAACGGAACTAAATAACTGAAAGTGGAAAAAGTATTATTTAAAAGTTATTTGTAGAACTCTTAGATTGCTACGCGTGTGCGAAGACTGGCTTTGTAATTTAGCAGCAGTAGTGCTTATTTTGGTTGCTTTCAGAAGATAGAATAATTTTTGAGTACATGGGTCGAAGGTTCTAACAATGCGTAACAAAGAGAGTTTTCTATTCGAAAATACTATATACGGGTGAAGACGTATGTAACTAAAGTATTGTAAATTTTACTTAGCAGTTGTTAGATTATTGCAATCTTCTGTTGACCACCCAAGTAAGCTGGAATTTTCATAAGACCTTAATGTATATGGGCGGACATCAAAGAATAACGATAGACGATTTTATTTCTAATCGAAAAGTTATCAGTTGTATTACAAGAGAAAATTTCTTATATTTTTAATACTTTTAACTATGTTATTATAAAATGTGATTTTGCCCTCACATACCTTTCGACTGAATCCATTTAGCAGAAACTAATATCTGAACCATTTCATAGATCGTTAAATTGTCTATAGTAATAAGTTTTCATTCTCACTTTAGAATAATTTGTTCAAATGCATAAAACGTCCAAATAAAATAAGAAAATATGCATGTCTGTGTTATTTATTTGAGAAATTGAATATCACAATGCGCCAACTGTAAATATCAACATTAAGAGCTCGAACTTTGTCAGAACTTTTTTTAGTAATTTCGGGCGATATTTTATTGGAATTTAAGAGCTATTGAGAGCTCCATATATATGCGGATTCTCCAGAAAAGTAGATTCAGTTTGGAACTAGCAGAGCAACACATATTTTTAGGCTAGAGAGAGGTTACTTTTTATTTAGCACAGTCTATCAGAACAAGTGAATTATGGAAACTGTTCTGAAAAATATGCTCAAGTTCGAAATAAAGTGTATCGATATCAGAAGAGATGAACGAATTGGCTCTAAGCATTATGAACAATGCTCTGATAGCAAAAACAGCCAGATATTTTTCATAAAAACCGTAAATATACCTTCTACTCTTCTTTCACTTCTATTATGTACCTTTAAACCGTAACTCGAAGCTTATGAAAACAAATTCCCGATTATAGTACAAATGCAAGAGTTCGGTATCGTAAAATTCATTAAAAGTGGTTAATGATATAAATTATTCCACCGGCAGTCGATCACAAAAAGTTGAACATCTAAGAAAAATTACTTTAAACTGTATATTAATTAAAAAAAGTGTTACTTTTCGCACATTTATAATCGACAAGACAATTGAGCACATCACTGAGGGTCTAATTGAATTGATGAATGTACTTGCTGTAGTCTTTGTCACTTGAGATGACAGCACTGCATTATTTATAGCTTTTAAATAACTTATAATTAATAGTAAATGCAAAAAGAAACTATGAAAAGTAAATCCTATAATATGTGAATGTAAATAAAAACAAACGTTAAAAATATTTGTTTGAGACTGAGACATACATATTTACATGTTCTAATAAGGAGTATCCTTTAGGAACTCGTACTTTGCTAAACAAGTTTCTAGTTTTTTTCTTTTTCATAGTTACAGGTAGTTAAGTTTAGGTTATATTGCTTGGCAGTCACACCTTACATAGACCTACTGGTCGTTTATAATGCCAGATGGAAGTTCAGTTTACTTCGAGCTGAATTATTCGTCATATAAGACATCACCTGTTGTTGTTGTAGCGGCAGAATTTTGTCGAGTTGACAGTCCTTGGCCGGAAAAAATCCGGGGCCGTTCCGGTTCCGTAGACCCGACTGTTATGGAAACGGAATATGGAAACGGAACCTGTTTTTGCGAAGCTTAAGGGAGATTTGATATCTAATATTTGATACTTCATCTAGCCCTTGAACTGCGAAACTCCTAGATATCTAGACGTGGTCCTGCGTCTTACCCATACCTTCTTCCCTGCCATTTATGCATGTATTATTGTTACCAATGCCCCATCGCTACTAGTTATTAGTTATAGAGAGGAGAAAACTTGGAGGAGATATATACAGAGGGTTGATAAAAAATTAAATTCAAATAGAAAAACACAACTTTTCCTCGGCGAAAAATTTGCTATCGCTATATATTATATTTTCACTTCACTCTCAATCGATAACCGATAACCGATACACTTTTTTCTATTTATTTTAATAAGATCGAAAGTAAAAATTTCTTTCAGTCAGTTTTCATATAAAATCGATCATTTTTATTACGTTACAGATAAGCACTAGCCCAAAACTGAAAGAAGCGTATGTTATCGAAACTTTTCACCAATAGCGAGTGAAAATATCAGCGATTTGAAGCTTTATTAATATGTCTGCAAGTAAATACAAAAAAATTTTAAATGTGGTAATTGCTTATTATCGATTTTTAGCGATAGCTTCTGTTATTTGTAACAATCGGAAAATCGTTGGAAGTCAACTTCAGTTCTTATGTATTATATACCTAATTAGCTTGATAGTTATACTAAAATATACCGCTTAACACCGCTGCCACAGTGAGATATATAAAGATTGCTACCAGATAGCTTAGGGAGGATTTTAATCTAAATAAAACACTAAACTAAAGCTCTGGCTTTCCGCAATACTTTCACATATAAAAGCGCTATACTCGACACAGAGGGTCAGCTAACATCAACTTATACCTACACTAGAACCCTGTATAAATTGAAAATTATATTTGTAACTACCAAAGAATAACAGAAGAAATTGATTCGTTGCAATTGTCAAAGCGCTCGTATTCCATCCACTCCACCGCGTCAATGTCAACACCGCAGCAAATTATCTATATTCGATTCGTTACAGAATAATATGGCATTAGTCACAGTTGTTGCAATAAATAGACTTCAAAATGACAGTACAATTAATCTAGAGTGACAATTGTAGCACAGTGGATGCAAATAGCCTGAGTCTTTGAAATGTTGCGTCAATCCGAACATTTGCAATTTCGCCGACGGCAAGCGTTCGTCATTTTTAGCTTTATAGTCATCTTATGCATTGGTGAGTATTTTCAGATTTATTTGAAGTATTTAATTTACATAATCCAATTTTTAAGATTTTTCTTCTGCCGACAACCCTAAAAATAATGATGAATCATTGAATGGTGTCGACAAGGAAGGAAAACCCGTAGCCTCCGACAGTAATCATTGGGCTGCGCAATCTGATGCTGCTCAATCTGATGCTGCCCAATCTGATGCTGTCCAGTCTGAAGCCTTAGCGAGTAATCATGGGGCTGCCCAATCTGATGCTGTCCAATCTGACAGTATCTCATATAGCTATGTTGACCAAGGTAATCCTTATTATAGATCTGCTAATTATTATAACAGTGGTTGAGGTAATTTCAAGCAGCTCTGGAATCATAGTACTATTCAAATAAATTTAATAAATATTTTGCGGGTCTAACTTGGTGTTATGTAATACAAGAAATACAGAAATATATCGAATAGTATATCGAATTATCTTGAAAAGACTTTCACTTATTTATATTGGGCATAAGTCTCCTCATTTCGCATAACGAGTGGAATAGTGCGACCACTTTACAGCAGTGTCTAATAATCATTAAGTGCAATTCGAAGACGTTTCTACTTCATTTTGCGATCGTCGTCGAAACATAAATACACACCAGAGACCAAGAAATAGTTGAAATGGGGGACTACACCTGGAGAACCTACTTTGAAAAAGGCGAAGATTGTCCTAATAGTGGAAAATGAGTTGGCAACCATTTTCGGAGATTCACAAGGTGTGATCTACATACATCGAATTTTTTACACACGATAAAGAAGTTGAAGCAAGTGTATTGAAGTGGGGCAAGTATATCGAACTAAGCGAATTCTAAGTTAAGCAATAAATCGCCCTACTTATCAGACCGCCCTATTTAATAGTTATGTGTGAGTATACAAAGTGGGTGAGGTTATGTGGATCATAGAGTGCAGATTTTACTCAAGCGGCTGTCATGTGTGAGCGTCCTCTTACCCTGTATGTGTCAGTGGTAATGGCAAAACTATTATAACTCGCTTAAATGCCTGCACATGTCATCCTCATTTCCAGTTATTCACACTTACATGGACAGCAATAGATACATATCCCTATAATATAAATATTTCAAGTTGCAACAATAGCAAGAAATCGCAAAATTTGCATTGCACAGAAATGCCTACATTGCACCCGAGATGAAGGTCACTTTCTGTGTAATACAACAACAAGCTGTACAGTATCTTAGCAGTATGTGGGAAGAAGCTTTACACAGCATTGTTGCAACAACTGCCTTTGGTTTACTTTGAATAATATATCAATCACTTTCATTAAAATTCACCAAAGTTTAGCACACACACACAGTGCGGCTCCTACAACTCGGTTTTCATGTAAACTTAATATATACATACAAATCTATATTTCAACACAGCTGCTGGAACACTGTCTTTCGGTTGTCTGTTATAGTTGCGCAATTTCTCTTCACCCCACTGTCGCTTTCACACTCATCCGTACTCACTTGTGGCTGTTCCAAATATCATTGAATGCAAATTTTTCTAATGGAAATTTAATTTCCTAATGCGTATTTAAAGCGCCTGCTACTTTGATAATAGCTTGTTCGCTTGTGTCGAGGCTGTTCTTAGTAGCAGATACAGGATTATTTACGCATTTGTACACCGAGTGCTAATATTTAATACCAATATAATATGGCACAATCTAAAGTTCGGTTTGAGGCTTCTGGTTGAAAATATCTAAAATTGTTATTTAATATTGGGCAACAGCTGTTGCTGCCAATCAGTGAAATTATTGGAGCGAATGCTCGTCAACTTTTTCGTTGTCTGCTTCCTTTTTTCCCATTCTTCTTCTTAGCAGACACTTTATTCCGCCGCTCTAGCCGAGTTCGAATGGTTAATTTCAATTTGGATAATCGAGTGTGTGAATACTGACCGAGGTCTATAATGTCTAAAATTAATATCAAAAATTTTTTGTAAAGACGATCAAACCTTGAAAATATACATAATTTCTTACAGAAGCAAACTTCTCCTGAAATCCGTCAGCCTTTTGAGGACTTTGGATGGCAAGTTGGTGAAAAAGCTTGGGAAAACATTTAATAAAGGAGTAAGGTCTTAAGCCCTTAAAATATTTTTCATAAGAAAATATCGAAATCCATGAATACCAAATACTCAGTGAGTCAAGAATAAAGGCCTTAACTTTATTTACTCTCTCAAGAAAAGCTAAGATTTGTGGAATTGAATGATTTCTCAAAGAATTTCTATGCATTAAGCTTTAACTAAGTCTATTTTGTATACAAGAAGGTTGGAACACAAGCACAATAAACGAACTTTGATATTTAATTTGGTACTGTCCTGAGAGATTCAGTTATAATTGTCTGACAATTAAAATAATATAAGAATTCGCGTTGTGATCCTGTAATAAATCAAAGGAAATTCTAGTTCAACCTAAAAGCCATAACTGCTGTGTGGTCCCTATATATGAGGGGTAAAAAGTTCAAAATAATTCAATGTATAAAAAATATATACTAAGAAATATCTTGAACATTTTTGTTTTGAGATTATATATCCAACATAACAACCTCGCTGCGTTCGAAGCGAAGAAGAGCTCGAAAGCCAGTAGGATTGTTCGAACACCATTCAATAAATAGCATTTCTAAAGTCGCAAAACGTATGTCATGTAAATTCTCTTTATTGAAAAGATACTATATGTACATAAATCAAATAGCTCAACGAGTTTTTAGAAATAGTGGGGAAAAGTATAACCGCAAAAAATGTAATTCATTAGAAAGGAAGAAAACATTTTTGAAAGAAATTTTCCCTTGAAAATATCCACCTCAAAGTGGAGTAAAAAATATAACATTTTTTTAACAAAAAACAAAAACAAAACCAAAACCCAGCTTTCGATGCTGCCCAAGTAATTTCACTTGTGTGGCACTGCATCACTCTCTGTTGCCTGCAATCAAAAATATTATACCAACATAACAAGTGCAAGTGTCTATGTATGCAAGTGAGTGTGTGTACATGTGAGCATTGGATTTTGGTAGTAAAAGACAATAACGAGCGCTGCTTTATTGGGAGATCCCAAAGGCAGGTTGTTCCTTAAATTTCCAGACATGACTGCAGCAAGAGATTTATTTATGTAAGGATATGCACTCAATTCAAAAGGAAGCAGCTATTCTGGTGTATGTGTACAATTTTATATAGGGTGGTTCAAAAAGCAATCATAGTTATTGTGTTTTCTTAGAAGTATTTCTGCGGATATTAGAAAAAGAGGAGTCAGTTTAAAACATATATTCGTTGTCGGAACCGCCGTCGGGCAACTATAATACAACTATACACTATAGCTTCCCAAGTTCTTGTATAGAAAACTTATTTATTTGACAAGTTATCTTCATGAAATTTAGCACAGATTATTACCCAATGTAGCATTATAATCTCAGAAGAAATTGTTCAGATCCGACAACCATAGCGTATAGCTGCCATACAAACTGACCGATCAAAATTATGATATTCATATTTTTATACTTTTTAAAAAATATAACTGTGAAGTGTATTATAGCTTCGGTGCGACCTAAGTAAACATTTATTCTGTTTTATCATGATTCTGAAAAACATAAAGATCCACCCTGTTTCCAGGCGTACGCTGATAGCAACTACAACAGTTCAAATTCCTTGATTTTTACTCTATTTGCCCCTGTGCGCCATAGCAGCCATAGCAGCCGAAAGTTGATTCGTTTTCGTCACTATTTTTTCGCCCGCTTTGCGCCAGTTTCCATGTTTCCTTCATCGCAGAAAGATATATAATTTTCCTGTTGTAAGTTTCAGCATCCTCTTGCACTATTCGCCCTCTGGCCAACTTGTTTGCCGACAATACAGGCACACACACACACAGACACACAGCGTGGAAATACGACGCTTATCTTCCGTTTGACTTTGTTTTTATGGCGTGCTTGTTTTCGCTTCTCACCACTACGATGTTGATGTTGAATGCTTGTTGTTGTTGTTGCTGCTGCTATTGTCATCTGTAGTTGATTTTTCCTGTGTCGAGCGAGTCGCCGGCATTTTTGCTCATTGACTGCTAGTGTCATTGCTGTGTACTTTTTCGCCTTCTTCGCAGCTGATTTGTGCTCACTGAATGCCGTGTACACGTGTGTGTGTGTATACCATACTTGTGTATTTGTGTGCGTCTGCGTGCATGCGTATGATGGAAGCCAGTAAGTCAGCCGACATGCCAGGCTGTCAATATGTGTACCAGTATTCGTTCCTAGTGTTGTTGTTGTTGTTTATGCGAACTCTGTACAATATATTTATGTTTTATGTTTTTCACTTCCTCCTCATCCGGCAATGCATTCAATCTTACGTTAAACGTTACTGCTGCCTGCTGCCTTCTGGCCACTCAAAGTCAACTCTCCTCTCCCTCCCTCCCTCCACTTCGTAAGTTCCGCGCTGTTTATCGTTGCTACTGTCTTCCGCTTCAATTGCTTCAATACACACTTCCTGGGGGAAGGCTTCACAAATAATGTGTGTTGTGTTGCTGCTATTGTAGTTGTTTTGACTGTCTTTGTTGTAGTTGCTGTTGTAGCAAAGACAAAAGCACTTGCTCCATCATTTCCAATGAACGTGTTGTTGATTTCTTGATAAGCGAGTTACTGCAAGCAACCCGAGTATTTTGCCACAAATTGGGGAGCGCGTAATTGTTTCAGCTCAACATTGACATGCAGATTTTCCGCGTGATTGGTAGTCGGTGCCAAGGCCTTCAGGGTGCGCAAAACTTCTGTTATTGTTTGATTTTTCCGATATGCTTAGTAAAATGATGTGAGCAGATAATTTGTCCTTGCTTTACTAAAGGTTTAAGGGGTATGGATTTGCGTAGGTTGATATATGCGCTAGTAAGAAGCTGTTCCAGTCAAATGTAATACTATACATAAACAAACATACATATATACTATAATAAAATATGATTACCTATTGTGACAATCTGCTTGGGATGCTTGTGATAAAAAGGCTTCGAAGAAAGAGCTTCCTGATTCTATGAGATATGCTGCTTTCCTAAAAAAATTATCTGTGTCGTCTTAAGCTTAAAACTTTCACTGAAATGTCTCATTCGGTCTATTTGGTCTACCTATAAATTCTTCAAATTTTTATCTTTCTTAAACAATTTTTTTTTATTTCATTAACATTTTCATTCATCAGCACCCATCTCTCTTCATTATTTTGTAGCCACTTTTCTAAAAGCGTTTCTGAAAGATAATTTATTACTAGTAATTCAAAAAAAAAATGTTCTTACTATTGCTTGACTTATCTGGGATAAGATATTCTATCATCTTGAAATTCCGACTTAGGTTAGCTATAAACTTCGAATGCTTCGAAATTAATGTAAAGCGTTAAATGCACGTTGTTGACGTAGTAATGGAAAAAATTATTACCATCTCTTGGGTGATATAACGGAAAATTGTAAAATACATTTTAGTAGGTATTCAAAT